GTAATCAGGGATTTTTCTTTTTTTGCAGACAAGAGTTTTGTCCTGGGTGGTCTTGTCCCGTCGTTTGGCCTGTGTATGTTGGGGCGGTGCTTGGATGTGGGACTTGTCATCTGGGATCTGTTCTGTTGCCCTCTGTTCTGTATTATTTGGCTGTTCCCTTCCTCTTTTCTTTGCCTCTTTGCCTTCTGGCTGTGTGCAAGTGGGTCGATATGACACACGGGGGTGGGGGCAGCCGCCGCTCAACCGACATCCACGTGGGCGGGTTCTGAACAGGGGGAGTTATAAGGAAGAAGATTAAATCATGAATTCATTTTTTCCTGTTTTGCTTCTTTCTTTCTTTTTCCTTTTTTTCGCTTTTGCGCTCTGATATGCTTGTGACGATATATTAATATCCTGATGAGTCGGTGAAACTCCGACGAAACAGTTTGTCACAGCCCCTCGTTTGTTGTCCACTTCTCTCTCTCTGCCTACGGTTTACCGGGCAGTTCTGTTTGTGACGATATAATGTGACGATATATATATATGAGGTTCTGAACAGGGGGAGTTGTAAGGAAGAAGATTAAAAACGAATTTAAGATTTTTTTGTTTTTTTGGTTTTTTCGCTTAGGCGCTCTGATATCATGTGACAATATATATATGTTTTAAAGGGCGACGGACTTGAGGTATCATCGTTGAACGGATCGGCGATAGGGAATTCAGAATTGTAGGATGTGATTTTGTTTACGTGACTGCATCTGGATTCGAACTTGGGTCCGATTCATATTTCAAAAGTTCATTGGTGTACTAACTGAGCTAGGCCCGTTGGTCAGGCTTTTTTTTTTTTTTTTTTTTTAAAGCTGCCTTGTCCTCTTTGAGTGGCAGCCATATATTTTTTTCTTTCACCTCACATATTTTTTAACTGGCGTTCTGCCTTGTCATCATGGAACATATCTGATCACGAACAAAAAACAAAAACAAAAAACAAAAAACAAGAAACAAAAAACAAAAAAGAAAAAGGAAAAGAAAAACCTCATTTTGAAAGTTTCAAAAATGTTGTGGCAGGCCGAGAAAAAAAAAAAGAGGAAAAAAAATTGAAGACGTATCTCGCCATCTTCTAGCAGAAGATACACTCCCCATTTTACAAATTTGGGGAGAAATGCAACGAGGAGCAATGCCTGTGATTACTACAAGGATGTTGTAGTATCATCGATGTATCTGGCCAGCTTCTCTTTTCCCTACCTCCTCGTTTTCTTCTCTCTCTCTCTCTCTCTCTCTCTCTCTCTCTCTCTCTCTCTCTCTCTCTCTCTCTCTCTCTCTCT